AAGTACAGCATTGAACTGGCAAGCATGTACAACTGCAAGTTCTGCAAACTAACAAGAGCAAACAAACAAAGATAATATATGGTAGAGTCTACCAACACTTTTCTATAGTGCCACTAAATTAATAATTATTTAAATACATATATATAAATAATCATCTACACTGCAATCGATTTACATATGTACAAAAAGAACCAATTCCCACTTTCAAAAATCTCTCAACCCTTAAGGTATTTTAACTGCACTAATTATTGTTGAGAGAATATAACTATTAGCACCGATCACATTGTCAACAGCTAACCAGTTACAGCCCTAACATAAGGCCTGATTCTACTCTCTTAAAATCCGCATTGACTTTAATCTTGTAACTTTGATGAGAGTAGGGTCAGGCCTTTAGTGATATGGGAACCTACTGTAAGTGTATTAAAAAGTTAAAATATATTGATACAATTGTGCCAAAATACTGTTCATTATGTGCATATACTAATTTCTATTTAAATTAGATGTGTCCATGTTAAGTACTGAATAGGAGAGTATTTTTCCCCATAAAGGCTTATAGACCACTTAACCAAGTCAGAATTCATAACTTTTTCCAAAGATAAATAGTTAATTAATTAAAAGAGGTATTAACTAAATGCTGCTTGCATGAATAACAAACTTGATTAGATTATTATTCTGTACTGATGCATAATTTCCATTGGAAACTTTTAGAATAACTCCCCACCTCCCACCCCCTCCCCCCAGGCAAAGTACTGAGAATCCTTGATACCCAATAGTCAATATTTGGTTAGCCTGTCATGTTCCTGGAACTCTTCTACATACAAACCTGTGTTTATCATCCTCTAGCTGCACTATTATCATACATATTACTTCACATGATGATGGAAACTCAGGGCATCTTATAAAGTTGCTGAAATCTGAGCTTCTGCTTGTTTTCTAAAGTCTTGGACAAACATAACTTTAGGGAGAGCTGAGCATAGGCATAAAGAAAGAGGAGCCTGCATTTTCATCTTCCTTTCATCTTAGTCATTCAGTCAACCATTCAGTGCCCTATTCAACAGAGCTTTTCATTATGCAAAAAAATGCTAATCCTTTTCCGATGCTTTCACACTTGTATAAACCCCCATTCCTTCGACTGAAAAGCAATTATATCAGTTTACCTTTCTGTCAAAAACAGGATTAATATTCCAATACCAGAATCTCCTTTATTTTCCTCTCTTTTGCTTTAGGAAACTAGAGATTATTAGTGGAGGTATTCCTTAGAGCAAGAATACATTATTTTAAATATGATTATGTTAGCTAAAGAAAAAAGGGGGCAGGGGAGGGAGAGAAAAACTTCAGTTGCTGCGGAAACTCTTTTCAGTGACAGAACTGACCTTCCCTTTGCAGAGGCCTGAATAGAATGAGCCTCACTCTGGTCTATTAATCAGAAACAAATTATGAAAGAATGTGGCTGGACTGGTTGACACTATCCTGTCTTGGGAGACTCAGTAACAGCCTAGTAACAATGTCCTCTTCATGGGTAATGAACAGCCATGACAAATGATGCAGAGAAACTATTTATTTGCATATGCAAATTCTCACACAAGGGAAACATGTACAAACAAGTGTCATTGTAAGGTGGATTAGGCAAACAACGCTTTCTTTTTAGGACATTCTGCAGCCCAGAACATTAGTCAGCACAATTAAACCAGTCTCCATGGAGACTAATGAAATTTCACCATGGTATGAGTTAAATTAGATAGCTAGTTATGTGTTTCCACAATCCAACTTGAGATCCATTATTGTTTCAGAACAATACAGCAATTGTGCCTGGCTGATCTTTGCCAGCTCAACAAGCTCCTAAATTGACAATTTGCATATGTTAATATAATTAAGCACTAATTACATGAAACTTGTACATATTCACATGCACTTTCCCTGGGCGCTTTTCAGTTTGAACCCTGGCCAAGTCTTTAACCCTTTGAATGATTTTGGAGCAGGAAAGCTCTGCCTTGTGGGTACAGCCCCAAGGCAGATGCAGAAAGGCTCTTCATTTATAAACACAAAGCTTAACCTGGCTTCTCATATTTCTATCAACAAGGCTAGAAAATATTTTTGTCTGAGCTGGGGTGGGGTGGAGGGAGAGGGGGGGATTGGAGGTACTTTAAAGCCCAGCACTAGTATCTCTTTGCATATGAAAACATTAATATTTACCCAAATAAAATGTTACAAAATCATTTGTCCTCACTGGCATAGTCAGATCCTTAAAGATCAGAATTGTCAAAACCTAGAGAGGGTTTGATGTCAGTGCTCTGACAGCAACAAAAATGGAAGTGAGCAAAGGAAAAAAAGAGCAAGCAGTAACTAATGAGCTTTACATAAATATATGCAGAGGCAATTAAGCAATGTTAATTACTATGACAGCAGTTAATTGAATATAATTAGATATTTTAAGCCACTGACTAAGGCATAGTTAAGATTAATTTTATTGAGATTAATTGTAAATAAGAATAGATTAACTCTCTGTTTTGACAGGCATAAAAAGTAGTTGTGCAAATTAACTAGGAGAACAGAAACTAGCACAAAAATCATATATTATTTTAATGTCACACCTCAGAATCATCTCCTCAATAAACATGACTTTTCAAACTCAAATAGACAGGAATCTTGAAGAAAAACAAACAGCTTGCAGAGATTAAAGAGCCTTTTGTCCTTTTTCATGTGCATTTCTTTTAGCAGACTAAATTAAGCGAGTCTGGTGTACGTTTTTAGGAAGGAACATTTCACACTGAATGGAAAAAATGTTCTATCACATATGAAATTCATGCAGCTGTGCGGAACTTGGTCCAGATGGTCTAAGACTATAAAACAACACCAAATGATAGACAGTAGGGCCTTCCCAAGATTATGTGATAAAGTCACAACCTCATATTTTGACCAAAATTTTCTGTCAAGTATTGTTTCCTTTCAGATCAGATATCTCCATTTTAATTTTTAACTGATCGTGAATATTCAAAAGGACATTCTTAATAAATGTTGCTGATAAACATCTATTTAGAAATCATAAAATATTTGTAAAAGGCCCCTTTGCTTCATTAAAACAATGCTGAACCCTAAATACAGAAAAAACAGCCCTGGTTCTTTTAACTATACTAGACTGTCCACACCACTTAGATTAAAAAGGCAAAAATGTCTGTTTTTAAATATTCTTAAACCAAAACCCCAAACACATTCTCACAGCAGATTAATTCATGCATGATGTTTAAGAAAATTAACAACAAAGCTGAAGAATGCTGAACAAATCACTAATAAGAAAGGAGCTTCAATTGATTTTGAAATAAATCAATAGGTGATTAGCATAATATTTTTAAAGCAATAGACTGTATATATATTATATAAACATATATATTATATTTTCAATACCTTTTTAGCTCTTAATCGAACAAGGGCTTTACAATACTGAGCATGTCCCTACATTGACTATCAACTTCTTTGGAATGCCTTTGGTCTTTTATAACGAAAATCCAAAAACGGTCTGTGAAACAAGGCTACGACAAGTCATTCTGCAGTGAAAGATTTTAAATCATCCAGCCTCTTCTAATAGACTTGAGACTTATTGAGGTAGAAACCATAAAAAATGAAGAAGGGAAATTTAATCCCTGAAATATTGATTTGCACATTAATATCATATAGGCAGAGGGCAATTTGGCTTCATGGAAATGACACATTGTCGACCCTTGGTGAAGTCAGAGCCAATCTAACTGCTGAACATGTCTGAATCTCAAGAGTTATTAAGGGCTTCCCTTCTTGCCTTTATGACTTTTCTTCAGCCTACCAATGCAATCTTAAATGTATTATCTTTAAGAAATAATTGTAAAACCTCAGGGGTTTTCCAGTTAATGGAAGGGAGGCTAAACCACATCAGATTCTGAAATGCAACATTAAACCCTTGCAATCAACAAAACCACCTCAATTCTCATCCATCCAGTGCAGGATCTAATATTGTTATTAGAGATAATCAAATTTCATTGTGTAAATTTAGGCTCATGGTCAGAATGGAAGCAGTAAATTCTGCAATATTAAACAGTGATTTTCTCATCCCCCTTTATATGTTCTTTGCTGGTACAGCATCTTTTAAAAATAAACCCAAACTAATAAAAAAATCAAAGAACAAAAATCTGCCCTTATTCTGAAAGATGCACGTCATGCCATATGTTATCTGCAAAGGTTTCCTTTAGTTTTAACTTGGTCTAACTGATAAGTTTCATTTTAGAGAATAATAAGCCAGTATCCCTGCATAAACCAATAGCAGGTACTACTACTGTGACTTACACAGATGGTTTACCTGACCTTTCTTTGTTCCTTGGGTAGGTTTCACTTTTGCAGATTTACGACTTTCCCCCTATATTTCATTGACCCTATATGTTCATTATAATAAAAATGAAAACTATTGAATACATGTTTATGTTGAAGAAGTCCAAAAGCCAATGACCAGAGGATAAATAGATGCTACAGTGCAGTGTGTGGATCTCTAGATCGTATACTATAAATATTCAAGCACAGATAGCACGAATAACTGAATAATCCTGATGAGCCCAGCACTGAAGCCAGGTGCAAAAGGTTAAAACAGCTGGCTAGCCATCTTTTATTTTTGTATGCCTTCCTGCCGATTGAAACCGCAAACCTTGAAAACTATCAGATATTCCCTCAAGGCTGATTGTTTGGGGGTGTTTTTTCATTATTAATTATTATTATTATTATTTCATTCCGCTTAGTAGGATCCCCCAGACCAGAAGAGAAAGAAACTCCTTAAATACAGTTAGTTGAACAGAAAGTGGAATAATAATGATTTAGGCTTCCCCCCCTGCAGTTTATTTTAACAATCTTCTTTGAGCACCTTCCCATCCAATTGTTTGTATTCCTTCTTTAAAAGAAAAGCACTCGGCTTGTTCTGTCAGTTTTGCCAGTAAATATAAAGTAAAACAAGTGTTGATGGCACTGAGAGTGTTACATACCCAGGCTGTGTTTTTGCATTGCTCTCAATGGAAGCGATCGATGCCCATGTCACAGTCGTGTCCCAATCGCAGCCAAGTCTCTGCCTCAATCTAACCAACAACAGGCAGGGCTGCAAAGGCTGCTCACTACCTCTTCCATCCATCCACCACCAAACTAAAAATATAATACTACATATGATCCTTAACCACTCCACCACCGCTCCTAGGGATCAAGCCACTGAAAATCCAGGGGAACACAATTAAAAAACAAACAAAACAACAACAGCCCTCTCTCTTTCTTCCTGTTTCTCTCCCTCTCTCCTTTTGCCAACTACATGATCCTTGATTAAAAATGGAACAGGGTTTAAAAAAAAAAACAGGAGAGCGAAATGGAGAAGAGGAAATGCAACTGTCAGAAAACGGGATGGTCAGACTTCCTGGGTGAACCTGCTTGTGTCTGACAGTGTAGATCCACCATCTTCAGCATGGCAAGTTGTCTTTTGGTTGGGCTTTTTTTTTTTTTTTTTTGGGGAGGGGGGTGTTCTGCTTGCGATCTGTGCCTTGGTACCTAAGGAGGAAGAGGAGGAGGAGGAGGGTGTGTTACTGAATGGGAGCTAAAGCCTCCTCGGGACGGCGCTGAGGTGAAACAGGCTGAACCCGACTGATGTGCCTCCTCTCTCGGCTGGACCCAGTGCCCCAAGCAGCCGATGAGAGACCCCCGGCCGCCCGCCTCGCAGGTAACAAAAGAAATACCAACCCGTGCGTTTGCCGCTGCTGCTGCTGGGGGGGATGAAAGAAGGGAGGAGTGGAGGGGAGCGGCCGTAAGTTGGCATCGGCTGGGGGGAAAGTTTATTACCATTTTTACAGGGAATTTCATTTAAGGCGGAAGGGGGAAGCAGGGACGCGGCTGCCATTAGCCGCTGGGTCGCCAGGGATGCACTTGATCCCCGGCACAGGGAGCCAGAGCAGGGGCTGTGCTGCGTTATCACGATTTGTGTTTTACAGCATCTTCCTCGGGTTCAAAACATACCGATTTCCCCGTAAAGCCTTGGCGGGGGGCCGCTTAAGCCAGCCCCAAAGCCCAATAGCAGCGATGCCCCTAGCTACTGGCGAGCTGCTCCGGCAGCCAGCCTGCTCCAGACAGCGTCCGTCAGCACATCCCTCTAGCCAGCCGGGCTCCCAGCAGCTCTGTGGAAACTGACACACAGGCAAAGCACGCTGCTAACGGGCTCTGCTTCTTCCTGCTGCTAGAGACAGAGGAGCTCACAGCTTCTGCTGCTGCTGCGAAACCTACCTGCGAACACAGTACCCCACACACCCCAGCAGCACCCGCACGCACACACACAGTCCGGGTCCCCTCCGTCCTGCTGGGATCTAGCCCCCCTAAAAGCGAAAGTTGGGAGAAAAAACGGGGGAATCTCCCGCCCCCCCCCAAAAAAGCACCTCAAACTTTTGTGGGGATCAAGCAGTGAAAGAAGGTGAAGGGGCAAAGGGCTGGGGGTACTGGCAGACGAGGATTTCTGGCAGCCGTAACATCTTTCCTAATCTGACAGGTTTTTTTCCAGCTCCCTAAAAATGCAAAATGGGGAGGAAAGGGGGGAGAAAAAGAAAAGCCTCTTCTGGAAAAACGTGTAGAATCCTCCACTTAATCCAAAAGTTAGAGCCCGAAAAATGTCACCCCCCAGAATAAAAAATAAAAAGAGAGCGAGAGAAAGAGAAAGCAGCCCCTCCTCCCCCAAATGAGAGCAAATATTGTACCTAAAAATGGGGAAAGAGGCAGAAAAAGGGGGGCGAGAGAGGGAGAGATACATGGGATCTGGGGATGTGAGTGTGAGTGTGTGTGTATGTGAGGGAGAGAGAAAGAGGCAGAGAGAGGGAGAGAGAGAGCGCGAGCGAGAGCGAAATATCAAAGATTGTGCAAGATCAGCCTGGAAAGATAATCGATACTCGACCTAAATTTAACACAAACTACTCAATAAAAGTTAAAGAAAAAACTTACTTTCCATTTCCCCTCGCAGTTCCTACTGGATCTTCGCCTCTTTTTTTGTTTGCTTTATTTACTTAAAAGCTGATCACATCCAAGTAAACGAGAGAAGGTTCATTAAAAAAAAATAAAAAAAAAATAATCCTCCAACTTTATTGGGTGGAAATAAAAATTATTGAGCAAGAAGTGGGGGGCATAGAGCAGTCCTTTGGGGTCCGGGAGTTGTTAAAGCATGTGCCGACGCAGTCTCGCTGTTTGGTTGTGAAGGGGTTGGGAAAAGGAGGAAAGGAAATGAAAATCCGATATGTCTTTATTCTGCTAATTATTATCGTTTTAGCCCTGTTTAAAAAAATGGCTGATTAAGTTGAGTGCGCATGTCTTTGTGTGTCTATTCCCGATATGCACTCTGGGAATGAGCGAGAGAGAGAGAGGGAGAGGAGAGGAGAGCGAGAGAGAGAGGTGTAATTAGTGAGGTGATCAACATTCTCCAGACTGCAAATGACGCGCAGCCCCGGACTTAGAGAAGCTGGAGCTGCCGCGGCTGCTGGGGGCTCGTAGGGGCTGCAGGAACCACACAACCAGCCCGGAGAAGAAGGGGCAGCAGGAAAGGAGCTTATGGACACAAACACAAGTCTGCAAACTTCATTAGTAACACAGACACATACACCCATACACACAAAGTAGATGGCAGGGGAAAATTAAAAAAAAGAGAGAGAGAGAAAGAGAGAAGGTGGGGGGAGAAGTCTTGCTCTTTTAACTGCTCAGGAATTTAAAAGAAATGGGTGCAAATTAATTATTCCACCAGTGAGGGGTTTTTGTTTTTTGTTTTTGTTTTCTTAAATGGGGATTTAGGAAGAAATATGCCTGGAATGGAATAATGAATGTAGAATGCCCCCGTAAGAAGAAAGATAGTGTGTCTAAGATGGGAAATATCTACTTATATAGATACAGAGAAGCATTTATTTACACACACACTCAGAGTTGTACACACACACACACACACACACACACACACTGTATTTGGTATCCACGATGTAACTGGTTAAGGAAATCAGCAAGATAAAAAGCAATGGCAAAAGAATTATAAAATATCAACAATAAACAGCGTTAACAAAACGAAGTAAAGACTAGTCCAGGGAAAGAATATCCTTGTATACTATAAATGTAGTATAGCACATACCATGAACCACCTTTACGACAAGTATTGATATTTTATTAATATTTTGTCATCTAAGTTATTTTATCAGACATCTTCCTTTCTTGAAAAAAATCTATCATGATGAAAAATAGAGGAAAACGGACAAATATAATTATAAGTGGGAATCTACTACAAATATTGTCTTGTATGGGATTTAAAGAGATTGTTTCTAATTTGAAAACCTAATTATCCTAACCCTAATACTACAGATGTGAATATGAGTGGCACTTTCATTAAAAGATAATTAACAAAAACTAGGAATAGACATACTTCAAAATATCCCCTACTGAAGATAAAAAAAAAAAAAGACTATTCAAAGAGTCTCCGAATACACCGCAGGAACACGTGCAGATTTTTAATAATGCTATTCCAGAAATGGGTATGCCAGAAAAGATCACTAAGCAACAGTTAAATACATGGGATATTTACAATACCAAGGACCTTGCACAGGTGAACCATAACCTTAGAGCTGACGTGCCTTTGAAGTTGGTGATACATGTCAAAACCTTGTCTTAGGCCTTAACAGCCAAATACCAACAGAAAGGTTTATCCCAATCCCCACAAAAACTGAAGATATAAATATGCACCTTTCTGGGCCCGAAACCTTTCCATTCTAGGGGAACATTTTGCACATCCTGGAACTAACATTAACAGGAAAATCCCCACCTGATGCTGAATTAGGGCTGCCCTAAAAGAGCAGGCACAGGCCAGTGTCAGGGAAGTAAGTTGCTGAAAGCAGATGTTTAAGGTCATAGCGAAGGTCCTGATAGTTTGGGGGAGAAATTGGTCGGGGGGGGGAGGGGCGAGGGAGGAAGTCACCAGCATGGAAGTACAGTTATCTTTATACCGTTATCCAAAACATCGGGAACTGCCACTATAACGGGGACAGAAACAAAACTACCTAAATCTAGAGAAACCCTACTTCCAACTTCAGGAAAACCTCCGGGACTCGAACTTAAAGAAAAGACAGGGGCACTTTCGCGTTCTCGAGAGGAACTTTATTCCTTTGCAAACCTTACCTCAGGATTACATCAGCTCATCAATTAAAGGAAACCATATATGCAAACGTATGTATATGCATGTAGATCTCGGAAAGCAAAGCTGCCTGTGAATGAGTGTATGAAGGAAACAGCGATCGGTGTTTACAGAGAAAAAACAGAAATGCAAACAAAAGGTGAAAATGAAATCTCTGAAAACCATTTACAGGAATAGATTGACGTGATATGATGGAAAGAGGACTTTTAGGCTTAAATTATAGACGAAACGGGACTCTGAGCTAGAACGATGCATTGTCCATTCAAGTGCATGTCTGAAGGATGGTAAAACATTTCCTAAGACTGGAGACAATTAAATACAGCACGATGAAGAAACACCTGAGAACAATACATCTCTTTCAAATTCAAGTGAAGAAACACGTATACTTAATGTCATAGAAGAATAAGGAAAGGAAGATAATTTAGTTTTGAAGTCCCCTCCCCCCCTTTATTCCTAGTGCTTTTTTTCTGGTGAAACATCAATATCATTAATGTCATTAATGTCAAAACACCAAACGTCAGATCAGTCAAGTCATTCTTTTTTGTTGCAGATTTTTTCCCCCTTTATCTCTTCTTGGAGGGGGCTACAGCTCTTTCTAGTGTTCTTGAGTCACAGCTCAGGGAACAAAGAGGGGGAATGCAGGCAGGAATTGTGAGAGGAGAGTCCACATTTTCAGGCTTTCTTCCGCCACTGTTTACTGTCCTTTCTAACGTTTGATAGCTCCTCTCTCGCTCTCTCTTTTCCTAAAAATAGTAGCTTACGGGAGGGGGGGGGCGGGAATCACTACGGGATGTTAACAGTTTAGAAGAAACCCGGGGATCGCCACGTAGCTAGGAAAAATCGAAGAAGGTTAATTCCGAAAGGCAGCAGCAGCAGCAGCAGGTTTGTGAGATGTGATAAGAGCGAAGCTCGGCGTTGTCAGGGGGAGGAAGGAAGGCAGGCGAGCAGCAGCTAGAAGGACCCGGGGACTGGCCGGCTGCTGCTGCTGCTGCTGCTTCAAGCGGGCTCCCCAGCTGGTCGGCCCCGGCTGCAAGGCTCCCTCTCTCTCCTCCCTCTCTCTCCCACTCACTCAGCTGATCGCCCCCGAAGGCTCCTGCCTAACCTCTCAGCTCCTCTTCTCTGGTCTCTGCGGACCCCCTCCCCCAAACCGCTCCTCGAGGCACCGTTATACATTTTGGGTTGTTGTAGGGGTTTTTTTAAGCCTCATGTTGAAACCACAAAAGCTCTGCTAGTGACGTTACATTTCAAAGAGGAAAAATCTGTCGCCCTCTTAGTGTTTCCCCCGCCCCCCCCCAGCCACAGCCCCCACAGAAACTTATTGGACCGAGTGAGGAGGGTCTGGAGGGGGCCACTGACCATGCTTTATTCCACAAAGAAATGCAAACCCAACAGATACACTTTGACACCAAGTCTCTTTGCCAGGCTCATTTCATTCCCCCAAATCTGTACCGCGGACACACAAGGGCAGGAGGCTATACATAATTACAGCCGCTCCCCTTCTTAACAACCCGACATAATTC